TTGATTGATTGAAAAATGCACATTTTCGACATCGTAATGAATCGAATGCAATACAGAGTGATTTCAGATATTTAGATAAAGCGATTGAAATCGAAGCATTTCTACAGTACAACTTAAACGTGACACACGATGGTCGAACGTATGCATACTCAGATTTTTGTGGTTCACATTGTGAAACGTCCGATTCTGTGAGTATATTTTTGTCGTTGTATAGAGACGTGAAAATAAGGTTTGTTTTGCTAATTGCGATTCTTCTGATATTTATTGCGATTCTTATTCTTCTATTAATAAGTGTTGTTTGAGTTACTTGATATTTATCGTTATTATAGTAATAATATTATGCATTGGTTCATTTTATCTGCCCTGTTCAAATATTGCCTCTTTCATGGCATCAATAATGCGTCTCGAATTGAAACTGCAATGAGATTTTGAAATGAAGTTTCTGTAATGAATTTGTACAAATATAGAAGAATTCATGAAAATGTTAGCTCAATTGGAGATGTTTTCCACTGAAATACTTCAAAGATTCTTCACTGACCAGTATTTTTACGGAGAGAATTTCAGGAAGAAAGCAAATGTAAAATTAACATTTCCAACGATGGATATTTTCGGTCATCGAATCTATTTAGCGAACAATATCTTTCAAGTGGATTTGAATAATCGGTACGTTTTAAGCAGTAATCATTTTCATGTGACAATATTTGATATGACCATATCATGTATCGTACAACTTTTATTTTCAAATGTCAAACAGTGTAGCTATTAACATTCAAATGTATCTTCTGTTAGTTATTTGTTCATTTCACAGTTCATTACGAGTCTAGATGAGTCGCTGTTTCGATTCACTGATTTCGTTATATTGTTCCTTCTTCGTTAACTCGCATTCCCTACAGACTTAAACGATAGTATTGTAGTAAAGGAGGAAGACATTCACTTTCATTGATTCAATAATCAGAATCATGTTACTGTTATAGATGTTAATAGTACTATCACCATTTTAATTGTTGTTATTACCATCTAAAAGTTATCCTTCATGGCGAGTTTTTTGAAAAGTTAGTGTTTGATATCGTAATTGCAGATCGCATCTGATTGAGGGATGTCGCTTAGTATCGATAAACTTCCATGCGCTCGTATCAAATTCATCTTACGAGGCCATAATGAAGAGATGGGAAACGAAAGTGTTCGAATATAGTGAATCGACGAAGGATGATCCGTTAATTCGAGTGTATGCCACTTCAGAGGGTCTTGTTAGTGAGGAGATGCGACGAACTGGTTCGAATTCTACAGAATTTTTTTCGTCTTCTTACAATTAGACAACTCAGTCTTGAACTATACCCTCATATGTATATATTTATACGGATGTGTAGATTCAATAACGAGAGTAACAGTCATTTTTTAATAATCATTTGATTATCATTTTTATCGCATTTACTTTCAGCTGTTAGTATCTGCAGTCGTCAGATTATCAGTTATGATATCGCCATGATAATTGCTATAGTTTATTTTTTGGATACGATATCAGGATGTCTTTCCCTTAAAGTGTTTACGATTCCATTGATGGAGAAGAAAATAAGAAATTCTTGGCGAAATCTAGCCTTGAAATTCATAAAGAGCTTACAATTAGTGAATTTGCGGTTCTGGTTGATTTTGACGTTTGAGAGCGATGCGGATAGTATACAGAAAACACTTTGGATGGAACAGCTTCAGTTCTGACTGTATTTATTGAGATGTTTATCGATCAGAAGTAAGAATGAAGTTATTTCAGCTATTGAAGCAATGCCTCTGATGTCTGTATCGTTTGTGGTCGTGCTCACATTCACAGTGTTAACAACACTGAGGCGAGATCCCTTAAGAAGTAAACCTTGGGAGGCTGCAGTTGGTGTATTTTGTCCAATATTATCATTGATGGCTTCGTTTGGAGCACTGTTTTGGGTCAGTGATATAGATGTTAATATTTGTATAATGTTGATGTTCATATCTTGATTTATTAGCTGAAGAAATGAGTTGATTTTCAGTTGGAGTTCTCATTTATTCCGATACTGTGTGTGGTACCGTTCTTGATTTTGGCTATCGGTGTGGATGATGTGTTCATATTTTTGTATAGTTTTCATCGAACCTCACCGAGGCTACCAGTCGAAGAACGAATTGCTGAAATGTTAGCTGAGGCCGGACCTTCGATCACAATTACATCTCTGACTAATTTCTTATCATTTGCTATCAGTGCGTTCACACCAACGCCAGCTATACAGGTTCGATTTTGACATTTACTTCGTTTACTTCATCGCATTACCGTTAACGTTATCTTACCGTTAATTTTTTATATTTTCCGTTGATTACATAATGTTTGTTCTGTTTCATCGCCATAATGCTGTGAAAGAGTTGTGTGCAAGACTTAAAGTTATGCAAAAGAGTTGAACACCAGGTTATTAAGTAATTCTATTTTAACAGATAATTGGATAATAGGTATAAGCCGGATCATAGCCTGCTGGCTCTGGCTCACAACATCAATGATATTGGTACACCAATCGGTTTCAGGCAAAACTTTCCTCCGCGAACGGGAAAATTTTGCTGGAAACCGAGTGGTGTACGAATATCATTAATAATTGTATTTTGTTCAGAGTTTCGCGATCTTCATTAGTGTTGCGGTGATGTTTGATTATTTCTATCAAATATTCTTCTTCTCAGCTATATTAGCTTTTGGTGGGCATAGGGAAGAGAAACACCTCAGTGCTTATTTACCGTGTATGAAGATACAACCACCAGATGCGGTTAGTGTTTTGTTTGTTTCATTTGTTATTGTTCAACGAAAACTGTGAACAAAATTTGCTTTGAAATGAATTTTGAGTCAAAGCTGAGAAAGATATGTATGAATTTAGGCAAAATGAAGTTTAAATCAAAATTTTGGAAGATATGAAGTTTGACAAAATAAACTATTTCGATCACACAAAACAGTCAAAAGGAATGCTTTTGTACTGTAACTTTTTGAATTACAATCTAAATAAATTTCATGGAGACGCATACAAATAGAAGAATTCCATATGTTTAGCAAGCGATTTACCTTTCAAT